AGTTACTGTACATCCAGTTATGTACATCCAGTTACTGTGATACATCCAGTTACTGTGATACATCCAGTTACTGTAATACATCCAGTTACTGTAATACATCTGTTACTGTGATACATCCAGTTACTGTGATACATTACAGTGATTATCTAGTTACTGTAATACATCCAGTTACTGTGATACATCCAGTTACTGTGATACATCCAGTTACTGTCTAATACATCCAGTTACTGTGATACATCCAGTTATCATCAGTTACTGTGATACATCCACTGTTACATCTGTAATACATCCAGTTACTGTGATACATCTAGTTACTGTAATACATCCAGTTACTGTGATACATCCAGTTACTGTGATACATCCAGTTACTGTGATATACTGTATCCATCTAGTTACTGTGATACATCCAGTTACTGTGATACATCCAGTTATATACATCCAGTTACTGTAATACATCCAGTTACTGTAATACATCCAGTTACTGTTACTGTGATATCCAGTTACTGTGATACATCCAGTTGCTGTGATACTGTGTATACATCCAGTTACTGTAATACATCCAGTTACTGTGAGTTACTGTAATACATCCAGTTACTGTACATCCAGTGATACATCCTGTGATACAGTTACTGTGATACATCCAGTTACTGTACATCCAGTTACTGTGATACATCCAGTTACTGTGATACATCCAGTTACTGTGATACATCCAGTTACTGTGATACATCCAGTTACTGTAATACAGTTACTGTAATACATCCAGTTACTGTATCCAGTTACTGTAATACATCCAGTTACTGTGATACATCCAGTTACTGTATACATCCAGTTACTGTGATACATCCAGTTACTGTGATACATCCAGTTACTGTGATACATCCAGTTACTGTGATACATCCAGTTACTGTGATACATCCAGTTACTGTGATACATCCAGTTACAGTACATCCAGTTACTGTAGTTACTGTGATACATCCAGTTACTGTAACATCCAGTTATCCAGTTACTGTAATACATCCAGTTACTGTAATACATCCAGTTACTGTAATACATCCAGTTACTGTAATACATCCAGTTACTGTGATACATCCAGTTACTGTAATACATCCAGTTACTGTGATACATCCAGTTACTGTGATACATCCAGTTACTGTGATACATCCAGTTACTGTGATACATCCAGTTACTGTGATACATCCAGTTACTGTGATACATCCAGTTACTGTGATACATCCAGTTACTGTGATACATCCAGTTACTGTGATACATCCAGTTACTGTGATACATCCAGTTACTGTGATACATCCAGTTACTGTGATACATCCAGTTACTGTGATACATCCAGTTACTGTAATACATCCAGTTACTGTGATACATCCAGTTACTGTAATACATCCAGTTACTGTAATACATCCAGTTACTGTAATACATCCAGTTACTGTAATACATCCAGTTACTCCAGTTACTGTAATACATCCAGTTACTGTGATACATCCAGTTACTGTGATACATCCAGTTACTGTAATACATCCAGTTACTGTAATACATCCAGTTACTGTAATACATCCAGTTACTGTAATACATCCAGTTACTGTGATACATCCAGTTACTGTGATACATCCAGTTACTGTGATACATCCAGTTACTGTGATACATCCAGTTACTGTGATACATCCAGTTACTGTGATACATCCAGTTACTGTGATACATCCAGTTACTGTGATACATCCAGTTACTGTGATACATCCAGTTACTGTAATACATCTAGTTACTGTGATACATCCAGTTACTGTGATACATCCAGTTACTGTGATACATCCAGTTACTGTAATACATCCAGTTACTGTAATACATCAGTTACTGTAATACATCCAGTTACTGTAATACATCCAGTTACTGTAATACATCTAGTTACTGTCTCATTTAGTTACTGTGATACATCCAGTTACTGTGATACATCCAGTTACTGTGATACATCCAGTTACTGTGATACATCCAGTTACTGTAATACATCCAGTTACTGTGATACATCCAGTTACTGTGATACATCCAGTTACTGTGATACATCCAGTTACTGTGATACATCCAGTTACTGTACATACATCATCCAGTTACTGTTCTATGTAATACATCCAGTTACTGTGATTACTGTATCCAGTTACTGTAATACATCCAGTTACTGTGATACATCCAGTTACTGTGATACATCCAGTTACTCCAGTGATACATACATCAGTTACTGTGATACATCCAGTTACTGTGATACATCCAGTTACTGTGATACATCCAGTTACTGTGATACATCCAGTTACTGTAATACATCCAGTTACTGTGATACATCCAGTTACTGTGATACATCCAGTTACTGTGATACATCCAGTTACTGTGATACATCCAGTTACTGTAATACATCCAGTTACTGTGATACATCCAGTTACTGTGATACATCCAGTTACTGTAATACATCCAGTTACTGTGATACATCCAGTTACTGTAATACATCCAGTTACTGTAATACATCCAGTTACTGTAATACATCCAGTTACTGTGATACATCCAGTTACTGTGTTACATCCAGTTACTGTACATACATCATCAGTTACTGTACTGTGATACATCCAGTTACTGTGATACATCCAGTTACTGTGATACATCCACATCATCCAGTTACTGTGATACATCCAGTTACTGTGATACATCCAGTTACTGTAATACATCCAGTTACTGTGATACATCCAGTTACTGTACATACATCCAGTTACTGTGATACATCCAGTTACTGTGATACATCCAGTTACTGTAATACATCCAGTTACTGTAATACATCCAGTTACTGTGATACATCCAGTTACTGTACTGTACATCCAGTTACTGTGATACATCCAGTTACTGTGATACATCCAGTTACTGTACATCCATACATCCAGTTAGTTACTGTGATACATCCAGTTACTGTAATACATCCAGTTACTGTGATACATCCAGTTACTGTACATCCAGTTACTGTGATACATCCAGTTACTGTGATACATCAGTTACTGTAATACATCCAGTTACTGTAATACATCCAGTTACTGTGATACATCCAGTTACTGTAATACATCATCAGTTACTGTAATACATCCAGTTACTGTGATACATCCAGTTACTGTGTTATACATCCAGTTACTGTATACATCATCTGTGTTACATGTAATACATCCAGTTACTGTGATACATCCAGTTACTGTAATACATCTAGTTACTGAGTCATTTAGTTACTGTGATACATCCAGTTACTGTGATACATCCAGTTACTGTGATACATCCAGTTACTGTATACATCCAGTTACTGTGATACATCCAGTTACTGTGATACATCCAGTTACTGTGATACATCCAGTTACTGTAATACATCCAGTTACTGTGATACATCCAGTTACTGTGATACATCCAGTTACTGTGATACATCCAGTTACTGTGATACATCCAGTTACTGTGATACATCCATACATACTGTGATACATCCAGTTACTGTGAATACATCCAGTTACTGTGATATACTGTGATACATCCAGTTACTGTAATACATCCAGTTACTGTGATACATCCAGTTACTGTGTGATACATCCAGTTACTGTAATACATCCAGTTACTGTGATACATCCAGTTACTGTGATACATCCAGTTACTGTGATACATCCAGTTACTGTGATACATCCAGTTACTGTGATACATCCAGTTACTGTGATACATCCAGTTACTGTGATACATCCAGTTACTGTAATACATCCAATTACTTACTGTAATACATCTGTAATACAGTTACTGTGATACATCCAGTTACTGTGATACATCCAGTTACTGTGATAGTTATCCAGTTACTGTGATACATCCAGTTACTGTGATACATCCAGTTACTGTGATACATCCAGTTACTGTGATACATCCAGTTACTGTGATACATCCAGTTACTGTGATACATCCAGTTACTGTGATACATCCAGTTACTGTGATACATCCAGTTACTGTGATACATCCAGTTACTGTAATACATCCAGTTACTGTGATACATCCAGTTACTGTGATACATCCAGTTACTGTAATACATCCAGTTATACATCCAGTTACTGTGATACATCCAGTTACTGTAATACATCCAGTTACTGTAATACATCCAGCTACTGTCATACATCCAGTTACTGTAATACATCCAGTTACTGTAATACATCTAGTTACTGTGATACATCCAGGAAGAGTGTATGAATACACCACGAAATGATCATTTGTTTCTTGTATACCCACAATTAGACTAACATCTACTCCCTGAAATGAACATATTTTACAGAAAGAACAGTTCCTAAGTTATAATCATGAAATATAATATTGATAAAAGTCAGTTACAGAAAGAACAGTTCCAAAATTATAATCATGAAATATAATGAAAAAAATAACAACCAGTCTCTGACAAGAACATATATTACAGAAAAATTAGCTCATAGTGAAAAAAAATAATAATGAAAAGGAGCCCTGAGAATTTCTTCAGCTGTGGAAATCTAGACTTCGTGGGATTTCTTGGATATATTTGCTTCAGGGTCTGTATGACAGACTAACTAACAATTTACACAACAAATTGCATTGGTTGGACTAAATCCGTACAATACTAAAACAATAATATTCAACGAAGTGAACAATAAAAGAATTATACACAAGAAGTGTAAAGCCAAAGGAATAGAATACGTTCTGTAAACATATCTTGACGGGTTTGAAAAACTCGTACCTGTTTGTTTGAATTTCACCCCTCGAATCACAACCGCATATGCATATTCAACGATTTTGCAAAAGTAACGTGATACATGGGTTTGGCATCGTACCGAAAGTGTGTGTTGACGAAATACCGAGACATCACCTGGTTGTGGCACCTTTGTTTTGTCACAAAAAATGATCTCTGCACTATATTCATGAGTCTCCTTAAATAAATATGCAATACTAAACATGTACAAAGGTGAAAAAAACATACTTAGCGAGCTGTATAAATGAAGGGTTGGAATCAGGTTTGTCAGTTGTCTCTGTTGATGAACCTCAGCAACATGAAGTACGCCATTGTCTTTGCAGTCCTGTTGGCTGTTGTCCTCCAGGAGGCATACGGAGCTAGGTAAGTTGCTGCTGTTGTTTATGTTTATTTCTTGTGTATCAGAAGCTGTGGAGTAGCCTAGTGGCTAAAGCGTTCATTCGTCACGCCAAAGACCTGGGTTCGATTTCCCACATTGGTACATTGCATGAAGCCCATTTCTGGTGTCCTCCTGGTGTTGCAAAAAGATATGTACACCCAAACTCAACCTTTGCTAATCACAGTTTCAAGTGAAACTTATTACTTATGAGCAGATTGGACCAGCTCTTGTTGCCAGTCAAAGGATATATCGCTTGAGGAAATTCCAATAGAAACATCTAAAATCTGACCCACTTCACAAACATGGGCGTCGGGTAACCGATCACGGACATACTGTACACTCTGACAAGTGTAAATTGGCACGGCTCCCCCGACCGGACAATACCTTGATCTAGACTACCCGTTGTCCGATTTCCATTTTGAGGAGTGGGTTAGATGGCTGACATTGTGTGCTGGTGATTAGGGGCCTGACTCTGAGGATGTGGGTTCGAATCCCGGACCGGGACTCAACCCGACAAAAGTTCTAGAATCTGCACTTTACTGAGGAAGCGTAATCCCAAATATACCATGCGTTACATTTGACCACTTTCTGATAGGCATTCTGTATGCATAACTGTATGACAAAATGAGTGAGTATAGTTTTTCGCCGCTTTTAGCAATATTCCAGCAATATCACGGCGGGGACACCAGAAATGGGCTTCACACATTGTACCCATGTGCGGAATCGAACTCGGGTCTTCGGCAAGACGAGCGAACGCTTTAACCACCAGGCTACCCCACCGCCTGGTCTAATCGAACCCTCAACAGCAGCGCTGCATGGGTTGTGAAGCAGCAATGTTTGAAATATAAAACACTTAATTTTTTAGGAGTCCCCTTACACATTTACAAATCATTTAGCATTTTGAGATAATCGTATTATTAATAAAAGGGGAAAGGAAAAAAGGATACTTAAAAGATAATATGGTTTATGCTTCATTGTATATTTTCAGTTGCCCAAAGAGCTGCAGGAAATACAAGCGGTCCAACTGTAGGTACTACTACTACTACAGATGGGGATCCGGCTACAGTAGATACTACTACTGCAGCAGCTACAGGTGAGACAGAGCTTTAGAACCCGTCATTACATCACTACACATTATTGGAAATGAGAACAGAAACTGTTTTTTACTGTTGGTTTCCAAAAGCTGCACTCTTCTGTGAAACTATAGAGGGGCAGACCTCTGATTTCAAGCAGTAGGGTCCCAGCTAACAATTGCACGTCGTCACAACGTTACTCAGCGGTCTCCCATTCACGTTGTCACAACGTTGTGACCTGACGTTGTAATACGTCATTTTTACGTCACTACAAGGAGAGAGTGAGTGAGTTAGAATTTAACGTCACCTCGGCAATATTTCAGCCATATAGTGACGAGAAATGTTTTACATAAACAATAAATTAAAGTGCTAAATAATCAGTCATCGAAGGACTGTAAAATAACTAGTGTATCACAGATGGAGTCTAAAACTAGCATGAACATGTAAAACTATTTTATTTACGAAGACAATACAATATAAAAACGGGCTATAGATCTCTAACAACTGAAGGTAGATCACCATACTAGGAACCATGGGGACTTACATTACTTTTGCTACCTGCATGGACCCTAGCTGGATTTACACCATCCCTTCAGCTGTTGTGAAAATTTTACTTTGAAAGTTTTTCTTTACGTACCCTTCACAATTTTTACGCTACCTGCATTTGGATACAGCCACTAACAATCTGGCTCATTCTACACCCATCCACATCTATCTACAGCATGTTGATCAAAATTAAATCAATTTGTTTTAAAAAAGCAAGAATTAAATGAAGATGAACAGAATTAAAAAGATCGTTAACAGTTTTAACATTGAAATATTTATCCCTTATGATGGTACTACAAGGAAAAGGTATTTTATACTAAAGTATTTTACGGTGTCTTAACGTTCTATTTAACGTTAATAGTTGAATAGTTCCCAGTAGTGAACAGTACATAAGAAACAAAGCAGAAATTCACTTCAAAGTTTATTCGTTGTTTTGGTCGTGTGTTTTCTGAAGCTGTAGCTGAATAGTGAAGAAAGAATCACAAAGTGAAAAACAGTACAGAAAACTCTATCGTGACACTAACGTATAAGAAACAATGTTATAACGTTGTGAGGAGCCTAAAGTATAACGTTTTCTCAACGTAAATTTGCAACGTTGTCATTACGTTGTGACATAAGGTTATAAAATGACGTAATACTAACGTTGTGACAACGTTGTGTGTTAGCTGGGGTGGGACATTGATAAAACACGTCCTAACTGGATAGAATGCCCTACCTTCTTCAAATATATGCCCTTAGTCCGACGTCGTCGCATTCGTTGATTCGTTATAGTTCATTACATAACGATATAATCAAAAGTTTATTTCACAGCTACGCTGAACCTTTCTGTTTCATTATTTCTCGGAATTGGACTTGTTTTGAAAAAAAAAAATCAAAACTCACTCATTTCTCCATCATACTCACTCACTCACTCATTTGTCCATCGAATCAAGTATTTTTCGAAGTATAAATTTGTAGTTATTTTAACGCATCATGTTTTTCACAATGAATTCTCCACTTCAGATCATACACAGGAACTTGCTACGAGACTTGTAGTAAGTACACACTGAATTGTTTTACATTTTTGAAGTAACAATAATAGCAATGATATTCATTTATGAAGCGTCTCTTTCCAAACACTTGAAGCGCCCACTTCCAAACACAATATTACCCCGGATAACCGTAGCTGCCTGTTAGGCGCAAGAAGGTTTTAGTCACATGACTTATCCCATCGGGTACCCTTTTTCGGCTGGGTGAACAGAGGCAATATTGAACAAACTCACTTGCCTAAGGTGACACCACATGTACCACATGTGATTCGTTGTGGGACAGGACTTACGTAACAGAAATTCTCAGGAGTCAAGCTGCCAAACACGGCCACCCATCCAAGAACCCTCCGCGCCCAAGGTTACCCAACTGCAACTGATTTAAGACCTGAGCTCTATGCACGGGGCCACACACCTTCACTGTAGAAGGGATCTATGTGAATACTTCGATTAATCTGTGGTTCGATGATTAGATATGGAATGCCTCGAAACAACCGTAAATTCCACAGACTGAAGGTCGGAACATCTCTGTCTGACTGCAATGTAGAAAATATACTTTTGATGAAATTAAACAACACAGAGTTGAGACCCCATCTAAGACTAAGACATATGCTGTTATCATAATGTGTGTAAATTTCAGAAATACATTCCCTTTGTACCTTTTCTGTAAATACTTTTAATGTGAGTATTTATGCAGCTCACGGTGGCTGGAGCAACTGGTCCGACTATGAGCTGTACGAGGAGTGCCCAGTGATGTGCGGTGGCAGCACTGGCATGGCCTTCAAGACACGATCATGCACCAACCCAGCTCCCAGGAACGGCGGCAACGCCTGTGTTGGTGGAGACACTCATGAGATGGTCATGCCCTGCAACACTGACGCCTGTGGAAGTAAGTCAATGCTCAACCTTTGAAATCTAAATACACGCAGAATGTCACTGACCACATCAGGGCAGGTAGCTGCTCCCAATCTATCTAATGGTAATACTCAATAAACCAAAGTTGAGTTGAATCTGAAGTAGTAAACTGTGTCCTTTTTGTCGTCCTGATAATGGACTGTTTTCTTGGTTCAATTTCGACTTGCGAGCCTAAATTTGGTTATTGCAGTAGTCTTTTCGGTCAATATATTTCAGCTCTAAGAAAGCCGAGCAAGATTCTTTTGCTTAAAACAAAACTGCTTTACGTGCTTTGTGTTCGTGTCCAACATATCCATTTTTATCAAAATTATTCTACTCACATATCTTTATGACAAAACCTCTTTTTGCAAACATGTCATCTTTAGTTGGTCTTTAGCCATTCAGCTAAATTGTGTCCGGGAATAGATTATGTTGTGATTATATGATTATTATGATTATATGTCTGGGGAAATATTGTGTCCTGGAGAATAAAATCACCTTATCCTAACAGGTCGATGCCCAACTGACTCTGTCAAATACCACGCCCACCCAACTGTTCCTCACAACTACTACCAGTGCGATCCCGGCCACAAGAAGGCTTTCCTGAAGAACTGCACAGACGGAACCGTCTTCAACGTCGAACGCCACACCTGCGTTCACGCTAATGCACAACACGGAGATTGCTTCCACGGCCAGATGGCGGCCCATCCCACAGAGTGCGGCAAGTTCTTGTCTTGCGTTCACGGCCAGATGAATGAGATGCCCTGCCCAGGTGGACTCCACTACAACAGGGTGACCAAGACCTGCGACTGGCCATCAAATGCTAACTGCGAGTCCCAGTAAATCTCTGTATCTTGAGCAATGGAATAAATGGAAAGCAAATTTCAGACGCTTATTTGTTCTTTTTGTCAAGTTGAATCACTAAACTTAATAAATAATTACAGTTATTAGAGAACTGATATATAGGCTGCCCAGGTGGACTCCGCTACAACAGGGTGACCAAGGTCTGCGACTGGAGAGATAGAGCCAACTGCGTGTAACGTTGAATCTGTGTAGTATGTCGTTATACACAGACGTAGTGCTTTAGAGCGTGAACGAGCAACGTCATAACGTCATAATAAAGCATGCTAAAATGAATTCAGTTGGTGATCTTGATTTGAAATAATTTCATTACACAAAATCTATATGTATAGAGGAATTGTGGGCTTTGTGATTACAATTTAAAGGGCTTTCTTGACACACACATGTCTGTTTGAAAGGTTCATATACCGGGACTATTGGTGAGCATCTGGCATTTTGTTTTCCTCTGTACTTAGCAAGCTCTGTAAGTGTAGAATCTTAAATACTTTTATGGTTGATTGGAACAATTGCATCCATGTGTTGGGTTACTGGCTGCTAATAACGCTTTCTGATCAGTGGGTAATAGCTTTTACACACACACACACACACACACACACACACACACACACACACACACACACACACACACACACACACACACACACACACACACACGCACGCACAACCGTGTGTTGGGTGACACGCACACACACTTACACACGCACGCACACACACACACACGCACACACACGCACGCACACACACACACACACACTGTTATACTAAAACCACATCCGGCCATCAGACAAAGAGACAATAAATTTTCTTTGATACTATAACATATTAATATTACATACAGACTAAAAGTATTACATATATGCACAAAGAACTTAATTAAGCACCCCCTGTATTTTTGCTACAGTAGCTTGTCAACACTTCAAACTTTAAAACTTCTCGTGGTGACCACAAAGGAAAAATATCAGCTTTTCTGACCCGTATGATCCCTTGACTCATAAAAAACACCAACATGATTGGAATCCATGTTGATTTTATGATGATAATTCCTCAATTTAGAAAAACACACTGATTTTCATACAAAACCATGTCTGTACAAGTATGGCCCTGGAATGGTAAAGCTGACTTTATTTGTGAATGTGAACCTTAAAAATGACATTTTGCGTGTCTTACACGATTCAAGGTCAATACTAACTGTATGGCATCCAACACTCTCCTCCTCATACCCCCTGTCTGAAGGGGTAGTCCATGTCATTTCTCGTGTAAAGCAGCACACACACATACACACATATACACACACATATGGTCATATAAATATAACACAAACTAAAACCTACGGTGGCTGATCAGGCCCATCGCTTTCTCGCCTTAAAACTCAGCCGCGAGAAAGCGAAGATAACGTGAGACGAGACATCAGTATCGTTGAGCAAGAAAGCGATTGAACGAGAAATTGAGAGAGCGAGGAAGCCATAGAGCCAGAAACCGATATTACCCACAATTCAGTCCTGTCTGCGCATGATCGACTACAAACGGAATGTCGTTCGCCATTCGCAGTTTCCGAATAGTATTACTAAACGGACCGATTTATAGAACCACCTGAACATTAGATTTTCCAATGTTATACACCGCTATTCTACATGGCAAACTTCAGGAAAAAAATGAATTCCTTGATCCATGGGGTATTTGTAAATAAACTTGGTCAACAAAGATATACCTTTGGTACAAGTCAGAATATGTAATTGCATCGGACATCATTTTTGTACTGATATATCACATTTTGAAATTCAGCAAGTGTCGGCCGAGTACACCAGAGAAACGACAAAGTAACAAATATACCCAAGTAATACATTACGAATGGTGTCGCTATGTAGACATGTAGCGTAAGTGCAGTCAAAATGAGACTGAAATATTACAGGCAGCTATTTGTGCTGATTGTTTATTATGTATAGTCAGTACTGTATCAAAGGATCACACAGCTGGTTGTTTCACAAAGTTCATGTTGCTAACGCGTACCTTCCTGTATGAAAAGGCGATTGGGTATATCTGTTGACACCAACAAATTAAGCAAGAAACGTATAATCGAGAAGCATATTTTCTTATGGCACGAACGAATAGCTTACCTATGAAGTCTTGGTGCGTTTCAGACACAATACCTCTGTGAATTATAAACTACCAGTGAACGGGTTAGGAAACTGGCAGGAGCGAGAGTATGTATAACACCATAACGATCACGTCTTTGTTGGCCGGACCGGTTGGGAGATGCCAATCCTAAAAAACATTGTACATTGACGACATTTGTAAACACATCTTATACCAATATCATGTATGATGTGATTGGCTGTTATTATGACGATAGTCTTAATTGTTGTCTTTGTTTTCCTCGTTCTAAATGGATGACGTAATGATATGTATTGTTCTTCCCAGAGTGGGTAGATATTTAGCTGAAAATACGATATGAAGGAACATGTTCCCTGTATCCCAACTGTCAGTTATTGCGTTCTGCATATCCAAACACCAAAAGAATATCTCATTTAAACATAATACCCTTCAGATTAAAATTATACGTTATGTTATTCCAATCATAAGAGGCGACTAACTGGATCGGGTGGTCAGGCTTGCTGAATTGGTTGACACTTGGTTTTGTCGTAATTGTGTAGATTGAGACTCTATCTAAGATGTTGATCACTGAATTGTCTGGTCCAGGCTCGATTATTTACCGACCGCCGCCATATAGCTGGAATATTGCTGAATCATAAGTGCGTGAACTTCAGTAAATTAAACTCAAACATACTGTATTTAAACTAAAACAACTCCCACTTTTCATTTCGAGATTTCTGGGATACTACTTACTTGCTACTACTACTGCTACTACTACTGCTACTACTACTACTATTTACTACTATTACTTCTACTACACCAGTACTCTTAATGCTACTATTAGTTACAAAACTGAACTCATTGACTCACTCACTAATGTGCTGCTGACTTAATTGTTGTAATTGTTTTGTAATACAAGACAAATCTTATGGATAACAACTTCTTTAGTTTGTTTACCTCGACGTGCCGTGTTAAACAACAAGGAAAATGAATGTAGAGAGATTTGTTAGTAGCCATCCTAATCGAAACAAGTCTCTATTCTAAAAAGGTCCGAACTGGTCGAACTGGCCGAATACTACAAACTTGACATCGATTCTAGTCTGCTCGAGGCGAAGGTCACGAAGATTTAGCTTACAATCCTGGTTGAAGCACAATTGCTGGCAATTGGCATTGATTGAGGAGAAGACTGACGTTCTGTCTCTGAAGACTCGATTATTTACAGACCGCCTCCATATACTTGGTTTACTTCAGCGTTAACCAAAACAACAACAAAATCATAATGTTGTCCTCGCTTCTCAGGGGCAGTACACAGGAGATAGAACCGGTCTGTATCATAAGCTGACGTGAATTTCAGGAACATGATTAACACTGTGTCTAAACATACTGTATTTAATACCGTAAAACAACCCCCAGATTTTCATTTCGAGATTTCAATGGGATAATATCTACGCTTGTTTCGATCATATCCCCACCATGTTGTTAACTATAGATACAGTTCACGAGATCCCGGGACACTGGCAATGTATCTATAAATCTTAACTTATTTACAACACGTATATGAGAAACATAACAACAAACCATATAGTTGCTAATTGCATTTTGTACATTTGATTAATGAACACGTACATGTATACCCCTTTTTCAGATTTAAAATTTAAGTCTAAAAAGTGATGGTTGGTAAACATAGAATCATACATTTGAAAAGCTCCCCATGTGTAGGTGAAAAATTCTATGTATTGATTCAGAAACTGGCATTGAAGTGAAGGAAACTGGCAATAGATCTCTTTTAAATGCATTACTTAGAATGATATTATCTCTTTTGTGTAATGACTGGGATTGAAAACATGGAAAAAATAAAAAAAGATTTTAACAAAATGCCATGGTGTACACAATTACGGTGTTCCAATAAGTTTTGATAAATATGACATAAATCCACAAAGGTTAACAACGTATTTTCGTTGACACTGCAAAGCCACACACGCAAAAATGGGCAAGTAATCGCATGAAGGTAATACTGTTAGTACAACGAGTTATTCCACATAAATAGATGACAGCGTCGAAAGTTATAGCAAACTACATGGGATATCACAATTCTTATCTTCCTAATGCTTTATTTACAGAGGTGGGTCGTTCTGAACACTGTTCGACAAGTGGGTCAAAACATACAAGTCTTCATTTGCTTATGTCGCTGGCCATGGTTTAGATATTGAAAAACAAATAAGATAAATCGGAACATAAACACTCATTGGAGACCAAATGCCCAACAAGGGATCATCGAAATGTGTATAAAATGAAGCTTTGAGGTTTGCAATCTCAGTTCAGTTTAGCAGAACCTCAAGCAACATGAAGTACGCCATTGTCTTTGCAGTCCTGTTGGCTGTTGTCCTCCAGGAGGCATACGGAGCTAGGTAAGTTGGTGCTGTTGTTTATGTTTACTTCTCATGTTGCTAAAAGTGATGTACAACCGACCTCAACCTTTGCTAATCACAGCAGATTTGATCAACACTCTTGTTGCTAGCCAAGGGATTGCTTGCTTGAGGAAATTCCAATAGAAACTTTTTCTAAAATACGAAGCGAGGGTTCTCAATCTGTTATATTGAAGATATTGTTTTATAGACATTCTAGCAGTATCATCGCAAGGGACAATAGACTGAGCAACTATTCCGGCCCTCATGTATGTTTTGACCTCTGTATTGAAACCAGAATTCTAATAATGATACACTCGAACAGCGTTGTGTCCAACAGCGATGTATCGATCTGACGGTTATCTCGAAATAACATTTGTTCCAAGTGAAATCCTTCTTTAGTCATCAATTTGAGTTAGTATCCGTAACCCAAAGTGTTTACGATAGTCCCTTCAACTGCGACAGCTATGTTGGACTGTACTTTGTTAACCCAGTGTATCATTAATCATAAGCACACGAGTCCGGCAGTTAAAAATGCTCGAAACGCCCAGTCGCAAAGTAGTTTCATTGCAAATATATGCTTTCCTTAAAACAACGACTGTTTTTGGACACAATGTTGTAAAAAGTTCTTTGTGCCCGTTTCGTATGTTTAATAATGATTTAACAGTCATTACATTATAAATGATATTTAACAATCCGGGTGTGTTAAATTAAATACATTTATTATGTGACGGGCATTGATTACATTATATTCTTTATAAAACGTTGTGGCAGATATATAGAGTTTACATTTTGTACGACTCGCAAAACAAACTATGAACCAGTATGAAAATGTCTGAGAGAGTTAGAGCGTAGAAACATCTCTAACTTGACTAGTCAATTCGATGTTTCACCGGGTGGTCGAAGTGAACAGTGCCATCTTAATTCAATCAAAAGAATTGTTAAATATTCTTTCCCAGTTATCTGCAATATATTTGTAAATTAAACATGTTCATAGCTTATAATTTATTTTGGAATTGCTCTTGCAGTTGCCCAAAGAGTTGCAAGAAATACAAGCGGTCCAACTGTAGGTACTACTACTACTACAGATGGGGATCCGGCTACAGCAGATACTACTACTGCAGCAGCTACAGGTGAGCTTTCTGTTGTAACGTATGTCTCATTGCATTGTCGGAAGGCCGACAACATACACACAATAATACGATACTGATGTCAACAGTGATAGCTTATAAAAGAAACAGTAGGTTTTAAACAGATGGCAGTGTCCTTCATATCAGCACTACATAATTGCTATAGTAATAATACACAACCATTACGAGTGCCCATAAACTATGTATTTTCAACACCCCGCCCTAAAATTTCATTTTCACGTGATAAGTCTTCTTTTAAGTAAATTTTCTCCGCCACTGTGGGCATGTAGATCCAGGCATGGATTGGTCTTCAGGAACCCATGCTTGTCGTAAGACGCGACTAACGGGATTGGGTGGTCAGGCTCGCTGACTTGGTCACCAAATATTATCGTATCCAATTTGCGTAGATCAATGCTCATGATCACTGGGTTGCCTGGTCCACATTCGATTATTTACAGCGATATAGATGAAAAATTGCTGAGTGCAGCGTTAAACAAAAACCACATAAAATCTACACCAAAACATAATAATTAAATGCATGTTTTAAAATTTCGCCAAAACATGTTTCATAATTACTTTTTTCAGTATGCTTTTGTCTTAACGGAATTACGTGACTTTAAAACGTTGCTGCTGAACTAAATATGTACGTGACTAATCCAACACAAACATTCCAATTCGTATTTCAGGTCATACACGGGTACTTGCTACGAGTCATGCAGTGAGTACAGTCAACCTTTCACATAAATATGTACATGCTACTTGTTAAGGTAACCTATGTAGTGATGAGAGAAGAATCTAAATCTTTTCAGGAAATCAGCAATGAATATATCCTTAGTCGATATAAACAGTGTGTGTAATATTTACTTCCAAATGAACAACGCCGGCACCCACTGAATATAATAATTTCGAACTCGGAATTGATCACTAATTGTAGTTCGTCATACGCATTTCGACTTAGATATAGAGAAAGTGCCAGGAACTCGAGACAGTTCGTTATATCCGTCAGTTCGTTATACACTGTATTGTACTCATAACTGATACAGAAACGTCCACCCCGTTAAAAAGCCTACTTCAGCAACCCATGCTTGTCGAGAGAGGTGATTTGTGGGATCAGTTGGTCAGATCTAGACCTGGTGACACATGTCACACTGCTTAGAGCGTTGCTTATAATGCCAATCATTAGATAGTCTGGTCCACACACGCCTATTTACAATGCGCCGTCATGCAGCTGGATATTACTGAAACAAAGAAATCAAATGAATACTTGAAGTTTGTGATTATCCATTTCTGGCTAAACTGTCAATTACGGAAATATTCTTTAGCTAGTATTGTTTGGCAAGAGTCTGCATTAAGCAGGCTCTACTTAGACTTAACCTCCGTTTGTAAATGCAGCTCACGGTGGCTGGAGCAACTGGTCCGACTATGAGCTGTACGAGGAGTGCCCAGTGATGTGCGGTGGCAGCACTGGCATGGCCTTCAAGACACGATCATGCACCAACCCAGCTCCCAGGAACGGCGGCAACGAATGTGATGGAGAGGACACCCAGGAGATGGTCATCCCCTGCAACACTGACGTCTGTGGAGGTACGTTTGTTCACACTGTTAAGGAGGTTGTAGTGTTATACTTATCAGCAGCATAACAAGACAAGCAGGATGGTATGAGCATCGTTAAAATACATCAGACATAATATTTTAGGCTGCCAAGCTATAGCTGTTAGGATGCTCGTGAGTATTAATTGCAAAACATAGCCCTGCATGTAAGCGGCAGGCAGGTTTTAAACATTTACCACTTAATCACACGATAATGTTTATTACAATGCCGATAAACCAAGAAACAGGGCGAGTCAAGATTCAAACCCACGACCATGTTTAAGTCCAAGTTTGAAAGTCCAAGTGAAAGGTATTTGCGCAGTTTATAGGTTACTATTTTCAGTCGGACCTGCGTACATCTCACTCTTAATTATGATTTTGGGGCGAAGATTTATCGTTTCTATATTTTCAACAGACCGATGCCCAACTGACTCTGTCAAATACCACGCCCACCCAACTGTCCCACACAACTACTACCAGTGCGATCCCGGCCACAAGAAGGCTTTCCTGAAGAACTGCACAGACGGAACCGTCTTCAACGTCGAACGCCACACCTGCGTCCACGCTAATGCACAACACGGAGATTGCTTCCACGGTCAGATGGCGGCCCATCCCACAGAGTGCGGCAAGTTCTTGTCTTGCGTTCACGGCCAGATGAATGAGATGCCCTGCCCAGGTGGACTCCACTACAACAGGGTGACCAAGACCTGCGACTGGCCATCAAAGGCTAACTGCGAGTCCCAGTAAATCTCTGTATCTTGAGCAATGGAATAAATGGAAAGCAAATTTCAGACGCTTATTTGTTCTTTTTGTCAAGTTGTATGAACTTAATAAATAATTACAGTTATTAGAGAACTGATACATAGGCTGCCCAGGTGGACTCCGCTACAACAGGGTGACGAAGGTCTGCGACTGGAGAGATAGAGCCAATTGGACAAATGGAAACCAGGGATTGTTAATCAAGGCATGAATGATGAGATAACTATGGTGGCATTTAACAAGTGATAACACTATAAACAAAAAGAAAATAGAGTGTAACAACACTGACACTACTTTAACATTCAATGTTTCGGTAAAACAGCTGTCACATCTGTCCAGAATGAGATGACCGCCTCCGTGGTGTAGTGGTTAGAGCGTCCGCCTGGAGAGCGGAAGGTCGCGGGTTCGATCCCCGACCGCGTCATACCAAAAGACGTTAAAATATGGTACTTGTTGGTCCCTGCCTGGCGCTCGGCATTTATGGGTACAACAAGGACTGGTCGGCTCAGAGTCAGTATAATGTGTCTGAGTGGGGTATTCATGCTTCACCGCGGCATGATATCTCAGTGGGCTAGCACTATAAAACCAGCTTCAGTCTGGGCTAGTACAAGCAGCCGCACATACACATACTCACGCATGCACGTCGTCATATAAGCGAAATATTCTCAAGCACGACGTAAAACCCAATTTCACCTCACCTCTCGTCTCCAGAATGAGATCTTTATAAACACATGGCGAAGTAATACCTATGACTGAGCACCTACGGGTAAAAAGGGCTGCACTATTAACGTGTGTGCCTTTCTTGTCCCGTACAGAAAATTTTCATATATATCGGGTCCATGGCTGAGCATTGGACCTTATGTTTTCTTTATAACTTAGCAAGCTACGTGTAGGTCACTGAGTAATAAATAACTGCAAGATGGACATTATTGGTATTTTGGATCAGAGTGTTTCGGCGGTTCTTTGATTCCTTTCTATACGTCAACAAGGGTAGAGTTTTGTTGTGACTAACCCTAATTCTAACCCTACACTAACCCTAACCCTAACCCATAACCCTAACCCCTAACCCCAACCCCAACCCTAACCCTTCTTGTGACTAAACCTTCGCATTTTCCCATCCCGTTAAAACTCTATTATGTTGACTCCTGTATATATGAAATTGACAACAAACTCAAGGTTCATATGACCTTATTAAGTGTTATGCAAGCGGACACGTTTCTACTGGTTCACCAGCTTCATCACCTCCCTTCAACCGGCTGTCAGTCTTTTATTAGTCAAATGTCAGTGGGAGAAAAGGTCCGAAGACCGTTAAAAGTTGGCTTATATGTTGTTATTCATATTGGCGTTTGAGAAATGTCTGGGTTATGCTTTACGGAATACGGTTTACTGGATATTTTAACACACGACAACATTACAACACGTTAAATTACTTTCACCCTTGCATTATTGAATACAACAGAATTCTCCTGTCAGTAACAAAAATACGTAAAACTGCTTGCATTCTCAACCTGCTAAAAGTTACATTAATAAAAGGTACTAAAAGTCCTCGGCTATTCAATTTCTTCATGAGCATATGTGCGCAAGTAGCTCTAAGTGAAACGGGCTGTGCTTAGATTCTTGGGAGGCATATCGAATTTGGTATTAAAGTATAAGACAAAATATTATGGATGTCAACTTCTTATTGTATACACAACGTTTCTGGGATGTTTCTTGCACCATGTCAGGTGAATGCTAACTAACAGATATACTGGATGTATAAACTATTAATGTACATGAAGCCAGAGTGATTTTTAGCATGCAAGGCTATGCTTGTTTTCAAATTTAGTTTCCAATTTTAAACAAATATACCACTTATCTGGAGGTCTGCATTAACACCTTATGCAGACACCACCTCTCATTTCCACTACCCGGTGGATAAATGGGGAAAGTAATGCCAAATAAAACATCACACAAGCACATCGTACACACAGTGTACACTGAAGACACACGTATGCTCACACGTGTGTTATAGTAAAGCATTATCGTAGCCTTTCCACACAATCAATCAGTTATTAAATATCATAAATACTTCTTCTTCATCTTCCAGTGCAAACATTACAGTTTTAACCATGGTTAAATGAAATAACAGATATGTGCGAAAACGCGACCAAAGTATGTCCCACCACAGGTATCTCTGACAAACTAACGAAAGGAAAAAACCCGAGAACATATGGCACAAAAACAAAACAGCCCATGGTATAAGTAATAAAGGCCACTTGATTCGCTTCTTCTGTGATCGTCACAAAATATTCGATATATACTGCTTAAATAGCTTTTCAAATCCCTGTCTCACAGATCAACGATTATCCTTAATAATATCATGGAAGGACTTCCTCTGTATTCACCGAAAGTATTTGAGACGAGTGGAATTAAAACCATGTGGATTCTCAAAAACTCAAATGATTTGCTTGAATTTATAAAATTTTAGAAACGGACCGAGTTCAATTCAGTCGTTGTACACCACTATCCCACATGACAAACTTAAGGAAAAACTTAATTCCTTGATCCATGGGGCATTTGTAAATAAACGTGGTCAACAAAGATATACCTTTGGTACAAGTGAAAATATGTAATTGCATCGGACATCATTTTTGTACTGATGTATCAAATTTTGAAATTAGCAAGTGTCGGCCGGGAACATAACAGAAACGACAAAATAACAAATATAACCAAGAAATACATTACGAATGTTGTCTCTATGTAGACATTTAGCGTACGTGCAGTCAAAATATTGGTAACGTACGTGCAGTCAAATCTGTCCATCAAAGTGACGTAAATTAAATTTTTAAACTTATCCTATCTCACAATAAGAGTATCGTACATTGTTTTTCCCAAAAGTTCATATTGGTAACGCATACATTACGACATGAGCAGGTTATTGGGTATATATGTCCATTAAAAGTGACGTCAAATTAAATTTTTAAACTTATCCTATCTCACGGATTGTACTCTCTCTCTCATGATCGACAACTGAGTGGAAACGAACTGTAAACGAAGGTTTTGCTGTCTGCTCCCAAGCTTTCCTTACCGGATTTTGACCGGGTGGTCAGGCTCGCCGACTAAATAACACCCAAACCTTCAAAGCCTGCGGCATATGTCTCATCCAAACTGACTTTTTAGGTCGCTTGTAATCCCACATAACCAACAGGTTTAAACATAAAAAATGCAAGACTAAGAGATAGCCATATTTGTCGATCAAACACTAAATGGTGCAAAATACGCATTATTATGTTGGATACGTTTGGATAAATTTGGAGAGAGAGAGAGAGAGAGAGAGAGGGAGGGGTTCCTCTATACCTACTGTTAGTTATGAGAATATCTCATTTAGACATAATACAGTTCAGATTAGAATGAAACTGCATTGCATCACATTACATTACATATAAGCTGCAATTGTCTTCAATATCTCCTGTCATTTGAAATGTTAATGATTGTGTTTATAAGAGAAAGCCACATTCATAAACTGTGACAATGTGTAAATGTGTAAAATAGCTCTTTGGGATTTGTGTAAATGACAAATGGAACAGACGCTTGGTACGATTGAACTAACCACGCCATGTCAAAAATGCCAGATCCTCAACATCCCTAAATCTCAACACTCTGCAACCATAAACATATTTATGAAAACTGTGAAATATCGTTAATTGTGCCATTTCTCAGTTCCCCTTCCCTTTCGAGCGTTCGACGTACATTTCGAGCAGATCTACTGCTATAACAATCTACAGTTCAAATGGTAACTCATACACGGTCTTGAAGGAATATAAAGTAATTAAATCAAGTACAAGTGTCCAGGGTGTTCTAACAGCGCCCTTACCTGGCAGGTAGATGGTATTTACCTGTCAGTACCCCACACCTGGCATGGCGTACCTTTACCTGAACTACGGTCTACCCCTGTACTTCAGGTTTTGACGGTTTGGGCTGAGCGAGAGGTACAGTGTCAGTATCCGGGGTCCCTTGGACCTTTACTGCAGTTCCTCCAGCAAACACAAGACGATGATCTTCGTTCAACAGTTTTATTGACACTATGTTGCTGGTTAACCCACTCTATGGTCACTATATAGGACTACAGCTGCAAAGCATGAGTCTTAAGCCACAATGTCGGTGTTTCAAGATGACGTGTTTCTATGACGTGTCCTAGTGATCAAAACATCAAGAGTGGGTGCGCACCAGACTGGCTACTCTGAGCTTTGCTTCACCTTAAAACTGGGTACCTACATCACAGCCAATACCCTTTCCCATTGTTTTCATTGGTCAATAACCTATTCCCCTCATTACCCCTACTTTCCCCATTATATTCCTTTACCCCAATACCTTATTTGTAAGACTGTGAGGTGGATTCCAGGAATCCTAGAATTTCTCTAGCCATGACCATATATAACTCGTATAATTGGTACCCAGAACTGGTACCAAGATCACCAGGCATGTTTCTCAATCTTGATAGCCCAGCTGATTCCTCCTACCTAAGCTATGAATCACCTCATCTTACCCCTCAAACGCTAACGACCTACTTTCATGTTTATTAAACCACACACACACACACACACACACACACACACACACACACACACACACACACCACACACACACACTACTGATTTCCTACATTACAAATATTATTAATCACGTCATAAGTTAAAAATATTAATAATTCCTGTCATAATTTGTCCCATCTTAATCACCTGTTATTAATAATCTTGAGTTCATATCTATTATTACAATATCTATCAGGATCTCATGCCTATAATATAAGTCAGAAAAGAAATGCTGTTTAATAGTCCTTCAGTGATCAATGTCATATTGTAATTTTTTTGTAAAAGAGTATCAAACACAAACACAGTTGACAAACACAAACAAATTTAGGCATAAAATTTGTTTGCTAAATTTTGCTTAAATAATTTGAATATTGTACGAATATGCTTTAATAAACTGAGTCTGGAAGGTTCTCAGCCCCAACAATTTAAAAAGAGTCGAGGATTCAAACATTTCTGGGGCA